TTTCTGGCTTAAGCGGTTCAGTGCTTATCTCAACAACTTTGGAATACCTCTGAAACAAACCCCAGCGATAACAAGTGGTAATAAAGCCAGTACTTATTTCACACTTGGGCTAACAAAGTTAGATCAACGGTTAAGCGCAAATTCCACGTTAAAAGCGCCTCTTTCAAGCTGGCCTCTTTAATGGGTTAAAAGTAGCTATGTCGGTCCCGCCGCTCTTCCGGGAGATAGCGCTCTCTGTTGTTATTGCCAGCAAAAGGAAATAGAAATGTTGTCAACTAATGGAGTGTGTTATCTGTTACGTACTTGATCTATGCACTTAATCTAAACGCAAATTTGTTGTTTAGTCAGTTTCGTCGTCACTTACCACAGTAAAAAAAAAACATTCAATTTATATGAATTGTTCTTACAACACGCACTGCACAAATACGCCATAGAATAGCGATTATACGCAAAGAGTAAATCTATAGTGAGTATAAGCAAAAGGTATATAACTCTTTGGTATAGGGAAAGGTACATGATTGAAATGTATACATAGATATAGAAGAAAAAGTTTTATTTAGTCATTTATGTGTCTGATTCTCTTAATCATGATACTAAGGCATATTTGTCCGTATAGTTGTACCTAGGGTACAAGATAAAGATATTTTGGGTCCTAGATTGTACTTACGAACATGTCGTACTTAGATTAAGCATGGCAATAATAAAGCAACAGGAGAAGGATAAGAAAAGAAATGATGACTCGATGGCAAAACTGTTCCTTTAAAAGTGTCGAAGGATCTCAGTGCCTTTGGTTGAGTTTGAAACACCGAAACTGGATATGACCCAGGTAGGCTGGGCATAAATAAATGAAAATGATACAATAAGATGTGAAATAGATGCGTAAAAACGTGCACTGTAATGGGTCAGTATTTTCTGATAGAATTTTTTTAATCGGGATGTTTGGAGATACATGTACTTGCAAATGGGGAAACTACTGAGGCGATTTGGAATATTGGCATGTTTGAACATCAGCAAAGTAAAGTACGTAAGAGCTAGAGAACACAACGATTACAACACTAGTACATATGAGACAGAAAATTATCATGGTCAAAGCAGTAAGCATGTTTAAGTTCAAAATATGTCTGATGATGAGTCTTCAGTCTTAAGAACGAGAGAGAAAAGTAAGAAAGCGAGAGAGAAGAAGAAGAGGGATGAATAAGAGGAGAATGAGGAAAAGGGAGTTATGCGATCGAACGAGGGAGAAGAAGAAAAGGCTCCACAATTTATAAGATCATGAGATAAAAAATGACATTGTCAAAGCGGAGAGCGTGCAGGCTTAAGTTAGGGCACTGGTATGTCTTTGGTTTAAGTCAAGGAAGTAGAAAGGGGATATGAATGAATTAGCTAAATGCATTAATCATAAACCTAAAAGTGCAGTTAGTCCTTTGATGTCTATTTTTGTTTATCGAATTGTTTTCTGATGTTTGTGGGCTTGTATATTTGATCGACTAATAGGAGAGAGTGAGAGAGAGAGACAGAGAGAGAGANTTAGAGAGAGAGAGAGAGAGAGAGAGAGAGAGAGAGAGAGAGAGAGGGGGGAGACGGAAAGAAAAAATGAGCGAGTGTGAAGCCAAAGTTCGAGCGAAAACGAGCATGAAAAAGAAGAAGATGAGCATAATGATATAAGAGAGAGAAAGAATAGCAAGAAAAAGATATCAAGATAACAAAAGTACAATGTAAATTGAAGTGGAGAACAGGAGAAGGAGGCTATGTACTACACAGTGTAGTACGTACTTATTCAACAACCTCATTTCAATTAGATGTATATAAAATGAATTCTGAACATAAAGGCACCTGGTGAAATACACGCCTATTTATAGCCTACTGGAAATAATCCAGGCATATATAATCCAGGCAAATTAAAGAAGCAGCGCTTGTAAATATAATAGAATACAGAAACTTTATCGTCATTTGTACCTTGATGCACTTCATTTTTTTTAATCTGGTGTGTTTGGATGCAACAATACATGTGCATGTGATTACATTTCGTCTATATTAAGAAGCATAAACCCCCGGCATTTTTTCTACATTTGCAAAAAGTCACAAAAATTTTATTGCATGTGCGGCTTTCAGACCAGCTTTAAAATAACATTTAAGTTTAAATCAATGAAATATTATTCAATACGCTTTCACAAATAGAACATTGAAGTTGAACATAATTGAATGATTCTATGCCATAATATATAAAGATATATGAGTTTGTGAAAGTGAATATTTCGGGATGCCGACTCTTGAATACGCCCCCTGCACAATTCTTTTACACCCCTTCAGTCTAGCAGAGTTAGAGCAAATGGATGCAGTGCATTCAAGCGCCTTTTCCCGAAAGTTAAGACTGCTACATGCAGTGAAAACGTGATCATTGTTTCACTCCAGTATTGTCAGGCAGGAGCTACACATGTATATATACATGTAAGTAAGTGTCATTAATTAACCAAGCGTCTTATTCCGATCTGCAAGTAAGGCGATTATGTTTTCCTGTTTTCTATTGAATACCAATCAAAATCGTACCACAGACACACAAACATGTTGACAAGGAAAGCTCTGTAATCCGGTTTATGATACATTTAAAGCGAGCGTGGATTTCCAGTAACGCATATAAACCACTTCTACAAATTTGTTATACGGCTAAAAGTAAGAAACCGACATGCCAAGTCACATTGTAAACCAAATTAAGATCTCCCTCAGCCCCAAAAAAACTTTAAAACAGCACTTTCTTTAGAAATCTTGGTTGTGTCAAACGGATCTATCTGGCCCACCATACAAAGACCCGCTAAATGACACAGTGCTGCATCAATAATCATATCACTCTCACATCCATGCATGGATGTACAGCTAGAAGCGCAATAGCATATAATATCCATGTTCTTATTCAAATATTCATGATGCTGTTGAGGGATATTTATATCACAGAGAGAAAGCATAATGTACCTGTAGCCGTTCAAAAATCAATTTTGGGAAATATGAAACGATATACTTTTAAGTATTTAGCTAAGCTAAAATATTTGGAACTGTAAGGTGGTGTTTGGTCGGGTTTTGTGGCAAAAGATTGACTGCAAATGCATTTTTAAGATAAAAGACAACCCACGTCTCGACTGTGAGCGCCTTTGTGCCAACGCAATAATTAAATAATAAAATAATGGAATAACATATTGCATTAACCTTCTAACACATGTAGTTGCTGTGAAAATTGTCTCGGTATTTTTGCTTATTGGTTATTGGTTATTGGCTTTTTTAATGCTCCTTTTATGTAAGTAGTCAATTTTCACTGCTTCAATAATGTGACAAAGCAGTTCGTTGGGATATATTTTTTGTGGCGAATGAGGTTTGTGTCCAAACTATTGATTATAACTGATTTTGAACGCTGGTATGTTTTTGTATCTTTGCTACTTCTTCCACAAACTAATTATGTACTATGTAATTATGTACTATTCATGTAATGTCCATTAAATTCAAACATTCTCTTTTAATTCAAACACAAAACATCCCCCTTTACGCAAGAAACGTAGCAGGCTATTTACTTATTTGTATTTACCGGTACTTTTTTACTATTTTTGTTCGTTGGGTGAGTAGACCCGGCACATCATACCTGCTAGGACCTGGTCTTTTAATGAGGACACCCAGATTCAGAATCCAAAGGCCTTGGGTTTTGATACCGGACGGACTGTTTGTAAGGACTCTATAGCCCGATAAACGGGACCCAGTTACCAGATTCAGTGTAGGCGAAGTGTCCCATTTATGCAAGGCTGCTATATTTATATGCATCCCTACTGAATCACATTACTTACACAGACAATTCGAACACATACCGAGACGCTGATACGTGTATCTGGTTAACAGAGAAGAAATAACCCCATTTAGCATCCGCGGATATCAAATGCAGCGTCATCCTGACAATTATTAGTTATTTATGGCATCTCTTCGTCCTCGATGTTGCTTATAAACCACCCTCTCTCACACGTTATGCCTTTCCGATGTAGTTTGCGCCGGAATTTAGCACCGATAAATCGTTAGTTGGCACACCAACAGTCTTTATGCATGTCACAGTACAGATGAGTCAATTGTTAGGGTCTATTCCCACAACTTTAGATCGATCTATCACCGCGGGGAGTCTCACTAGATTACTGTCAGATAATCCGCCTTAAGTGTCCGTCCCGCCTACTACAAGCTGTAAGGGGTAATTAACTTTCGTATCCGCCCGGCTGACAGCTATTTAGCGCGAACCCCGGGGAGTTAGGTCGATCTAAAGTAGGTCGATCTAATCTATGGAAATGGGGTGTTAGTTTAGATCTACCCATGCACATGTAATCCATCCCTTGATTTAAACATTCGCAGTAAGGTCAAACTGTTTTATTAGTGCATTGTTTCTCTTTTTGTTTTAAAATTTAGTATTTTATCTTTTTTTTTTTCAATTTTTTCAGTGGTAAATCATGACATATTCCTTTATTTACCTCTGCTGCTTATTTTTGCTTATATTTGCTTATCTATCTATCTATCGATTTCTTTGATTATCTACTTAACCATTCCAAACCTCATTTCTTTATCTATCCTAATCAAGCCATGACTTTAAGATAACTAAATCTCTTTACTAATCTCTACCCCTCAAAAACCTGTCAAAAGTCAACTCATTCGTGTATCCCTCAACTGCGACTTTCCTAATAAACTGTGATTTTCCATAGCTTGGCCTAGAACGCGTGCTCTCGTTCGTCAATCCTACTCACTTCCGCGCAACAGTTCGAGGGCGAGGGGTCAAAACGACAAGAGTTATAAAAGTCGGTCTCAGCTGTTTCTACAAATACTGGTTGGTTTGCGGCGTAACTTACAGATCGAGTATCACCATTTTTGACGAGGAAACGACGCTGTGTTAATGTCACCCGCCACTGATTTCTGATTTGATGCACGTCGGTTAACAGGCTGAGGATGTGCGAACATTAACAGCGATTTCAGTGATCATGTATCACAATTTTTTTTGCGCTCAAGATAATTTTTCGAGATTTTCCAGAGAGATGCTTGAGTGATTAACTGTTCCGTGTTGCTGCAATTGTGTTGACAGAGCCTGATTGGAAATGTATTTTTCTTGTGCATTTTTTCAAGTTAGTTAAGGTAAGGGAATTAATCTGACTTCTGTTGTTATGTTACATACTATTAACTCCCATGCTGCAACCTTGTGTACTTTTTTCTTTTTTTTCACCTCTCTCTCTCTCTCTCTCTCTCTGGATGTATTCACTGATTTGCAATCCCACTTCAAAATTCATGTCATTTATATCCTCTTTAGCAACCCATATACATTCTTATAAAAAGACAAGCATTTCATTAAGATGCACCATTTTAGCCTCACCATTATGGCGTTGACACATATATGATTTATAGTTATGCTTGCTTGTGCTGTACTGTCTCTCTCATCAACAGAGAGTTGTATTACATCAAATACTCGGCAGTGACATTAACGTTAAAGGAAAAATAACTGATAGAGGAAAATATTCATTAGGTCAGGCGCATTATGCAAACCCTCTAGGGGGCTTACTTGTCGTAACAAAATGAAGAGGACACCAAATTCGATATCTGGAGGTGTCATTCGATGCACAACATCAGTATTAAGTTTCAGGGTGTAATTATGATGGTTGATGAATGCAGTCAGCGAAGCACATCTGAGTAATAGATATGTTTGGATGGATTTACACAAAAAATGCGGTGTTTACGATTCAGTTGAATGGATGAATAATTAAACATATGCATTAAAAGTCTAATAAACACCCTTATATATGGTGAATAAAGGCACAAAAGCAATGACGAATAATGAAGCATGCACTGGTAAGTCGGGTGGGAGAGGGGGGGGGCAGAAAAATAGGTTTATTCTGTCGAGCAAAGAGAGCTAACGGTGAAATAGAAGACGTGGACAGTTGCACAGCCATATGTAGGGCACGTGGATTGGAAAAAAATGTTTAGTCTCGTTTTGTTTGTTATATTTTTGGGAGAGGTCGGTTAGGGGGAGTTAGGAACACCCTCGAAACTAAGTTGTATTATTGGGGTTTAAGATGAGGATGTATTTGTAGCCATAAGAGCTGGGGCGGGTGGAGGGAGAATGCTGACTGCCCCCCTCCCCCCCCCCCCTTTGAAACATGTTTAAAATTGATTTCTACGCGCCTGGATGCGACCAGACCCTATAATCGACATATCCCACGGTGATCATGTTAGAAAAACCGTTGGGAAGAGGCGTCTCTCACGTTAAGCTGGCTAAATTTCACATTTTGTTCATTATTATGCAGGGCGGAAAGAGGTTGCGCTAGTGCGTTTGGGCGTGTTGTGGCGTGCATCACGTTAAATGCCATTGCATAATCTTTTTTTAATCTTAAGTTCAGAAGCATGAGGTCAATCTAGAACACACACGCATGCTCGGCCGTAGATAGGCACGCAAACACGCACAGACAAGTAAGTACTCGCGTATGTAAAAGCGCATTAAGAACAGCGAACTAACAGACCCTCGGATCAAATATGTCGAAACATTTAAAATATTGCCTCTTAATTCCCAATTAGACACTAAATAGATTACCCGCGGGGACCACGCAACAAGCATTCACGTGGATTGGCTATATTTGATCTGCGAATCTGTTAGACCGCTGTTCTGAATACGCTCTAAGACTGCATTACCATAGATTTTTAGATCGATTTATCCCCGTGGGGAGTCTCACTAGATTGTTGTCAGTCTGACCGGCTTAAATGTCTGTCCCGCCTACTAAAGGCTGTAAGAGGGTAATTAACTTTTGTGCACGCTCGGCTCTCGGAACCTGACAACAATTTAGCGTGAACCCTCATGGAGTTAGGTCGATCAGGAAAGATCGATCTGAATCTATGGGAACCAAGTCTATATCTCACTGTCAGGTAACTGATGGTGCCCACGCCTCCAGACACGCCATCACTGCAGGGGTCTAGCAATTAAACCTCGGAGCCGTGATTTAATCCGTTTAATGGCG